AAATTTATGTTTCCATTTAAAGAAACAAAGAAGAAAAATATTTTAACAAATTGCTGAACCTATCAACAACTCAGAAGAAAGTAAAATGTTTAAATTGGCAAAACAAAGCATAGTAAAAAAAGAAATCAATAATGTTTTACTCAAGTCATAAAATTCTATTTCATGATTTCAGTCTTATGTTCAAATACTCTTCTGTTTAATATGCAGTGTTACTGTGGTCCAATCTTTCCGTTTAAATCCTGGACGTTAACATTCAACATTATTATTGATATTTCTTGTCCTTAGCATTAAATTGGTCATTTTCTTGGTTGCCTTTTGTTCTCTTATTTTGGTATGTGTCTTTAGTTTTCCTGGTAGAGCACTCCTTTCAGAACTTCTTGAAGAGTGGGTCTACTATTGGCAAATTCTTTCAAGTCTTGTTTATCTGAGAATGCTTTTATAACCTTTATAAGTAACCTGGCATTTCTCTAATAACCTGATGTTTCTCTCTTGCCAATTTTAGTATCTTGTCTTTGTCTGTAGATTTGGCCAGTCTGGCTATGACGTGCCTTGGAGAAGATCTTCTTGGGTTGATTCTATTAGGGGTCCTTTGTATTTCTTGGGTCTGGATATTTGAATGTTTCTCTAGGTTCAGAAAGTTTTCTTGCAGAATTTCATGGAATAAATTATCAATGGTCTTATTATTTTCTTCCTCTTCTTGAATACCAATTATCCAGATGTTTGGATGCTTGATGGTATCTAGTATTTCTTGTATATTACCTTCATTTTTCTTGGTTGTTTTTCAATCTTTTTGTTAATTTTTTCTAGGTCAGCGGTTAGAGGTTTTGTCTTCTACATTTGAGATTTGAACTTATGTGTGATTTAATCTACTTTTAATACTTTCGAGGAAGGTTTTAATTACCTGTATCACATTCCTCCCCTCTAACAATTCCGTTTGATTCTTTTATGGTGTCTCTTTCTTCTTTCATATCATGAAAGGACTTATCTCCTGGAGCTTGTTGTTTCTTCTCTCTTGCATCTCATTAGTTTGGTCAATACACATATTCTGAATTGTTTATCCAACATTTCCACGACTTCCATTGTGTTGTCTGTGGGTGATAAGGAATTGATGTTTTCCCTTGAGGGAGAGACATTTTGTTGGTTGCACAAACTTCTTGTGCTTCTGTGATGGTTCCTAGTAATCTGGTGATCTATATGTTCCTTTCTAAATTATTCAAGGTATCTCTGAGAATTCAAAGGTGTGCAGGAGTATGAAATTGGCAATCTCTTTTCTACTCTGTCTCCCTGTTCCTCGCCAGCACCCTGCATAGTTGTCACTGGTCCTGGGTGACCCAAAGTCCTCCCTGTTTCTAGAGAATAGGTGCACCTGAAACTGAGCTGCTGAGCTTCAGCTCGGTAACAAAGAAGAGATTGCGAGCTGTGCGCTATACAAAACGTGGATGTCCTGAGAGTGGGAGAGGGGATGAGCCATGGGTCCCAGACATTAGCCCTCCAGGTGCAGTCAGCCTACCATCTGGTAAGGCCCTTCACTGGAACAGGATGGGGCAGGGTGGGGTGCAAGTTCATCTCAAAGTCCCAAGAAACAAACCTGAGAGTCTAAAGGTGAGTGGGGGAGCAATACATATGTAGTACTGAAAAATCACATGGTACTCCACAGATATGTACAATTATTTTATGTGAATAAAAACAGTCTCTACGATACTTAGATTAGGGCTTGCCCTACCCACAGGAAATACTAGAGTATTATTAAGTGAGGCATTAAATGGTTATGTGTGGGTGAGTCACTCGCTTGCCTAGGTGGTCCCATTTCCTCTTCAAAACGATAATTTTGTACTTGATTATATCTAACAGTTCTAACATCACAGAATTCTACTCACGAATTCTCAATTTTACCACAATTCTTTTGATCTAGCACTTAATAGTTCTATGTCTGCTAAGGGAAGGTATCAAATAATTCTGACCATGAGAAGGGAAATAATTATCCCCAGATCGGACCAGCCATCTGTGCAGTTTGTCCCAGGCACCAAAGGCTGCAGACAGAGGCAGGTCTAGATCCTGCTGCTGCTTTCAAACAAATCCCACAGCCAAGTCTGGGATGGTTGAGCAGCTGTGGGAAGGCAGTGGTGGCCCCCAGTGTCTCCTCCTCAGGTCGCAGTTACCATGGACCTGGCGCCCTTGAGAAGGCTCACTGAACTTACCATCTATGACCCGAGCCTGGGATCCAAGCACAGCAGTGAGGATGAGGAAGGAGAAGGCAGCCATGGAGACCTTCATCCTCCTGGTGGACAGGTGGAGCTGGCCTGAAGGCTCCTGGACTCACTGCTCCCTGACTTCCAGGACCCCAATTCTGCCTATATATTTATAAGAGGAGGAGGCTCAGGAAGTCACAATACAGAAGTTTTTTGGCTAAAAAAAGAGAACAAGACAGAGAACACAACAGGAAGTAGGGGGCAAAGATGATTTGGATAGTCCCTACAAACTTCCTGAATTGTCCCAATAGGAATAGGCAGAGAGAACTCTTCTAAAAATCAGGAGATTTGCCAATTCTTTAAATCAGAGTTGTTTTTGCTTTTGTTTTTAAGCTTATTTATTTATTATTCCATGAGCAAGAGAGACAGAGACAGACAGATAGCACCCCAATAGTTCTTGATGCTGTGATCTACCCCCAGCCTCAGCCAACCCTGGATCATGGCATACCTACATTTGACATATTCAGGGAGGTCTCTGGTTATGAACCTGGAACTTTCCCAAGTGAGTTGGCCTGGCAGTGCATAGCATTTTACTGCTGTGTTACCATCTGGCCCCCCAACAGGAGTTTTTTTTTTTTTTCCATTAGAGCTGACCACCTTCAGGTGCCCAAATATGCTATAAATATGGGGGCCACCAGAAAGAGAATTCTAACTAATACACCCAACTGTATGACACCTGCACAGTAACTGGAGAAAACCTTGATTCTTTCTCATATCTCACATCTGATTTGTTAATAAGTGCTTTTGGTTGTACCTCCAAAAAATATACCCAGAATTGTATTACTCCTTGGAAGGACAACTCCTGTTTCCTCTGTTCTCTACTCTCAATACTTCACTTCTCATGGTATCCACCTGGGGTCAGAACAGACCCCATGGGATAAGGGCTCAGTCTCACAAAACTGTCACAATCTCAGACGCCGATCACAAGTAGTGGACCCTCAAGTGACCCGCAACTTCTATCTGATTAGACTGTAAATCATAGGTTCCCATAGCCATCTCCTCCAGTTTTACAGTTTGCTAAAACAGCTCTCAGATCAGAGGAAAATAGTTTCCTTACTAGACTTCCAGTTTATTATAAAGAATACAACTCAAGAACGGCCAGACAGAAGAGATGCACAGGGCGAGGTATGGGGAAGGAGCCTGGAGCTTACTTGTCATCTCCAGATGGGCCACCTCCCAGCACCTCTATCTTCACTTTTCTCCTATGAACTTAACACTAACATGTTACATATGTTATTTCTAAACCTTCTAATATCTGTCTCTCCTACTAGAATATAAATGCCATGGAAATAAAGATTTTTGCTTCTTTGTTCACTGTTGTGTCCTTAATATCTGTCATTTGATAGGTTCTTACCTTAGTCTAGATTCTCCTGAAAGCATTTCAGGAAAACTAATAGGTACAGCTAGTACCTGGGAAGTATTCCAGAGAGCAGAAGTGAAGGACTGAACCATTTAGGGGGACTGGTGTTTGATTCTGTTTGGATTTTCAGAAGCGTTTTATAAAATACATCTCAGATTATTTTGCCTAGGGGAATAAAGGCAAAGTATTAATCTCTTGTTTTTACCTCTGTGGTATTTAGAAAACATGTCTTCAAACTCTTCGACATTCCTCCCAGTGAACATTGGAGTCTCTGTCTTATCCCTTTGAAACTGAAAGGTTTTGTTGCTGGTTCAACCAACAGTATGCCATGTCATCTCTGGGACTAGTTCATGAAAAGCCACAGAACTTTAGCCTTGATTCCGGGAACATTCTTTTTTTTCTTTTTCTTTTTCTTTTTTTTAAAAATTTTTTGGGTCTGGTACTCAAACTGCAGTCGACTACATAGGAGTCCAGAGATATAGCCATTAAGCCAACTGCTGGTCCCGATTTCCTGGAACATTCTTAAAACCCCGGGCTACCATGTAAAAAGCTGACAGTCTTGAAGCTATCATATCATAAGGCAGCCCAAGCCATACACACGTGTTCTGTAGATAGCTGCAAATAAGTGTAGCTTTGAAATCATCTTAGCCTAAGTGCCAGACACAAGAACGAGGGAGCCTCTAGATTGGCACTGTCCAGTACAGCAACTGCAAGCCACATGTGACTGCTGAGCACTGTAAACGAGCTAGAGGAAAACTGACATGTGTCAGAAGTATGAATTACAGGAGCCAGCAGATGGTGCAGAGGTTAAAGTACTGGATCTCACACGGCCAACTGTGTGGTTCAAGTTGCAGACCTGACAGCTTGAAAAACACTCTAGGCGTGAGTGCATGTGTGCTCAAAATCTGGAGAGGAGAATGGAGGAGAGGGGGTTGTAGCATGACCATAGCCCCTTTGGTGTGATTTCTCATTTTCTCTCTCTCTCTTTCTCTTTTTAAGTTTTTTTTTTCTTTTTTTTTGGAGAGGTTTTTGCTATAGGGTGTGTGCACTCACCAGACAGACAGAGAGAGATAGAGAGATAGAAAGCGAGAAATCACCCCCCAGGGGGGATGGCCACGCCACAATCCCTTCTCTTCCATTCTCCTCTCGGGATCTTGGGCACGCATGCACACGTGCCCGGCGTGAGTTTTAAGCCACCGGGTCCGGGACGTGAACCACGGTCAACTACATGGGAGTCCAGCAACACAGCCATTACGCTAACTGCTGGTCCCTCTTTTTAAGGTTTTTGAGGGTGTGTGCACTCATCAAAGAGAGAGAGAGAGACAGTAAAAGGGAAAATGAGAAATCATCCCCTGATGGATGGCTATGCAGCAATCCCTTTTCCCCTATTCTCTTGAGATTTTGGGCATGCATATACACATGCCCAGCATGATTTTTAAGCGATCAAGTCTGGGACTTGGCCATGTGGGAGTCTAGTGCCTTAACCACCATGCAACCTACTGGGCCTTCTCTCTCTTTCTCTCTCTCCATCTCTTTCCAGTAAGTGCAAGTGCACATGTCTTATAGCAAACTAAAAAAAAAAAAAAAGAAAATTAAAAGAAGGTATAAAGTACATACTCGAGTTTTAAAGTTTAGTACCAAAATAATGTAAAATAGCTCAATATCTTAAAAAAATATTGCCATTGGGTTCATGTGCTTGTGAGAGAAAGAGAGAAAGAAAGAACAAGCATCCCTCAATGGCAGTGGCATGCTCGCACCACCATCTTTCTTAGCTCATTTCTTCTTCCTGTCAGAATTTTGTATGCACTTACCTTGCACATTTTTGAGGCTGCTAGGGCTATTTGACCTGCAGTTGGCCATGAAAGATTGAGTCTTAGGCACTGTACTACAGGGCTAGCTCTCAATACTTTTTTTGATATTGATTACATCTTGAAATCATAATATTTTGGGTATATTGAGTTAAATAACATATATTATTAAAATTAATCTGTTTCTTTTTACTTTATTACTATAGCTACTAGACATTTCAAAACTTCCATTGTTTTTCTCTCAGAAAGCACTGGTCTAGGTGTTTCCAGTCCCCAGTCATTTTAGTTAGCAAGAGGTAACTTTTTATGTCTTCCCAGTTGAGGTCCTAGGCATCACAGAGCAGAGATAAGCATCTCTTCTGTGCTGTATATAGACTTCTGGCCCATAGAATTCGTGAGCATAATAAAATCAAGATTTGAATCGAGCAAAGACCTTTTACAGAAGCAATATAAGAATGATCTTCAAAAAATTAATGGGAGGGGCCAGCAGTTGGTGTAATGACTATGTCGCTGGACTCCCACGTAGTCGACCGCGGTTGGAGTCCCGGACCCAGTGGCTTAAACTCACACTGGGCACGTGTGTGTGTGTGTCCAAGATCCCGAGAGGAGAATGGAAGAGAAGGGATTGCGGCGTGGCCATCTCCCCGGGGGGGGGGGGTGATTTCTCGCTTTCTGTCTCTCTGTCTCTTTCTGTCTGTCTGGCGAGCGCATGCGCCCTATAGCAAAAACCTCTCCAAAAAAAAAAATTAATGGGAAATGCCTATTATGAAAGAATTATGCATGGATTTCAAAATTTTTTTGTAACAAAATAAATCCACATTTAAATACTATTTTTCAAAAAACATTTTGAAAGACCCCTTGTAATTTTTGTTTTGTACCACTAAGCCTTGGTCACTTTTTCCTTTTTTTTTTTTTAAACATGACAAGTCACTTTACAGGACCAGTGCTCTAACCCATGAGCTATGGAGCTAAGTGCTGACAAGTCACTTTAATCACTACGTTCTTTCTCCAAAAGAGAGATCCTGTGTATTGTTTGTAATTTGCTATATACAAAATTTTACTTACAGATGTCTAGTTGTCACAGTTAATGCCCAGGTATTTGTTCAATCTTTCATTTAAAAATTTAAAAAAGTTTACATTTAATCACTGTATACCTTTATAATGTACACATAGTTTTTATCCCAGTATGAATATAGTGCATATCAGTCAAATCAAAGACATTACTATACACATTATCATCAGCAGATAACTTTCATTTTTGCATCTATTAAATGTGTTGTTTTTTTCCTTGATCTCCTCCCTTCCATCCCCTATTGCCCACCCCTTATTAATCACCCCCTCCTATACTGTCTCTAGTATCTACAATTGCCCTCCCTGCTATTATACGTCTCAATCTTTCATTTTCTGCTAGAGAGTACAGACACTCATATATATTGAGTGGGGATATACAATGCCTGTCTTTTATAGTCTGGCTTGCTTTGCTTAGCGTTAAATATTCAATATGTATCCACTTTCTATCAAATATCAGGGTCTCTTGCCTGTTTTAAGATAATTGTATTAGTTCTTTCAGATTACTGGAACCAATACTGCATATTCTAGTGCCTTCTGCATCTCTGCTATCCTCCCCAGCAGCCATAATCTCTAATCCTAATGTCATGGGCAGGAACAGCAAATAGACCACTGGGAATCCTGGAGAGAGAGAGAGAGAGAGAGAGAGAGAGAGAGGAGAATGAATCAGTCCTACATGAACTCCTTGGTTCCTATGTGTTCTAACTATTGAGGACATAGCATCCTATACTGGCCTTTGGTTCAATGTATACCCTACATCCTGTAGGACAGGTCCCAACTTTGAAACTTGTTCATTTAGCTAAGTTGTTACATGCCACCATTCTTTTGGTCTGTCTGCTTCTGAGTGATAAAGAATATGGTAATGTTTGTGAATTTTGTATTC